CTGTTGCAGTTCCTTTTTCCTTCCAGCCTGAAGTTCGCTGATGCAGGAGGTGTGAAGGGCCTCCACCTGCGTGGGGGTCATGAGGTATGTCAAGCAGTACTTTTCCTCACAGTCTTCCAAAAAGATAATTTCTACAGATTCTGCATCTGATTTGGGTTGACGATGCATCACTTGGTCACCATCAGGAGTCCCACTGCAGTATCAGCTTGTAAACATTGGGTCCGAAACCCCCACAAACGCACTGATTGTCAGTGGGAATGAGGCTAATGAGGCAGTAGGCCCATGTAGAAACAAAATGAAACAAACCATGTATGAATCAGCCCCCCTTGGAAACATATCCAAACAAAACTGCGGACTTCCACAAGGAACGTTAAGCCACTCAGGTCTACCCAATTTTGTGTTGAAACATGATGAAAGAGCTGGCAAACCAAGAGCCAATGGACGAATGGCCACCACAAATCAAAAAAGCATCTGGCAGCCAGTCAAAAAGTTTAACAAGGGTGCTTCAACCTCAAAACAGCATATTCTAGGAACGTCTGAACCCCTGCACAGCCATCCTCTCACCCAGTAGCCCAGTTTCTGGCAGGACTTGCAGACTACACCAATGTCGATGGAAAAAGGCAATTACATCTAAAGTATACTCAGTATTACAGTATTATACTCTGTCCTTCAGTGAAGTTTCAGCCACACTTCTCCGTCCTTGCCATGTGTTTAGCATCTGGACATATCTGGACCATCCTCTTTTTGGCTTCGCCAGATTCGCCAACTTGCGTTCCCCGGCTCTGCCGGTCGCCGCGTCACTCCTTCGCCTGGGGCGGGAAGCAAAAACCGACCATCCACTGGATACTCTCACCTCTCACCCTAGGATTCGTGGCCAACCATGGCTATAATGGTCTGAATCCCAAAGAACCATTGTTGTACTAAGGACATATACGCTATTTTGCACCACACCGGTCACCACACCACCAGGTCAACCGGCTCAACTAGTTGCTTGGTCAAAATGTGGAGGGTCACCCATTCCAGACCCTAGTAGTTGAGAGTATCATTCTGAATGACCGGATGCCCTAAGGACGCGCAGATTTCCATGCTACGACTCTCCTCAACCGCACTGCTTGGACATAGCCACTCGGCTTGGACATGTTGGACTAACAGAGCGCTGGACATGATTTGCAACCACCACGCCATGATTCACGCCATCCAGCATCTCGCGCGGAAAAAGGTTGGTGGGTGGACCAGTGAAGTGACAGTAGCTGCTGAACAAGAAAGATTGTGTAAATGATCAAAGAGTAAAAGAGCATGCAGCACCCATGTCGCATCTGGTACTAGGAAAGATTGCCAGTATATGAGTTCATCATCATTGCTCATATGAGCTCCATAAAGAGATACACATGTATTGATTGGGGCCTCCGAGCCTTCTCATAGAAGCAAAAAAGAAATGGCTGTCCGATGATGCCCCCCCTTGAAGAACAACAGAACACTGTTTGTTGGGATCTCCATCTACTCTGAAGCTATACTGCCAGCGGCTCTTGGACACTGACCTTGATTTTCTTCTTCTTGCGACCAGGTGCTTTCAACTTCGCCTGCCAGGCATGATCTCAGCATCTCGCAAAGCCCCGCCGCATAATAATCCGCACAAGGACAAATGAACTAGACCAACCACGTCGCTCTTTATAGCCGTTTCTCATGCAAGTTCTGCGAGCTCAGTGTGATGCTGAGGGCAAGCCATGTCACTTGAAAAACTCCCCAGCAAACCGGCGGTGTGGCCCCATTTAATTTCCCCATTCGCTTCCAAAACCACTAAGCTCCCTCTGGGGTTAAACCTTGGCTGTCCATAAGTCCTTCCAGCTAAACCAAAAGTGCTAGAATTGTTACACCGTCTTTCAAAATGTACATTTTTGAGAAATACATACTCAATGATAATAATTTCAATTTATTTTTTTAAAAGTTACACTTTTACTAAATACATACTCAACTTGAATATCTCCGGGTTATGATTAATGATGAATAGTACAGTATATGATGAATCAAGTACAGACAGGAGTCTCTGATGAATAGTACAGTATATGCGACTTCCCATGAGTCTCTGACAGGAGACTCTTCTTCATTGCCAGCACAGCATCATCAGTAAGCATGGCTGCGCCCTCACAAGGTCTGAACAACTCCAAACACGGCTCAGTAGTGGCACCATGTGATCCCCAATGGCTACATGCAACAATCACTGGATTACACAATACATGCTCATGTAACACCATTACATGCTCATGATCTCCGCTCAGAATCCGGGTTTCTCCGCTCAGAGTCCGGGTTTTTCCGGGTCTAGTCCGGGTCAGTATTTTCTCCGGGTCTTAATTTCTATTTCTCCGGGTCACGTGTTACCTAATACATGCTCACCAGTCCAAATACATGCTCAACCCATTTTCTCCTATATCACGTTAATCACGCTCGCATTCTATATCTATATACAATATGGGAAGGTGTTCTTCCATCGGGCTGGCACCATCAAATTCTTGGAGCCTCTCATGTAGACAATGGCCTCCTCCAAGCAAGCCTGCCCGGAGATATTCAAGTATATGACCAACAGTATATGATGAATCAAGTATACTGCAATGCATGTTATGACCAACAAGTTATATTTAATATGTTATAACATGTTATTTATGCCATTACGCAATACCTACCCTTTTACTCAATACATACTCAAGATAAAAATTTTTATACCAAAAGCAAAAATCAACATTTTTCAAAAAAAATGTACTTTTTCGGGTTGTTACGGCTTAGCTGGTTTGTTAAGGGTTTAACCTTTACAGGTTCAGTCTAGCATGAAATCTCCAAGCCAAAATGGACTAAGGGTCGAGTACGCCAGCCAACGGCAAGCACCACTAAGGGTCGAGTGGGCTGCTACATGCTGCTATGCCAGTGCGCACAATCAAGAATTAAAAAGCAAAAAAACATTGGATGCTCTCCGACCACGGGTGCGCCCCCACCTTTGGCAGAGCCTCTGTGCCCGAAGGCGCCTGAATTGGCACCGCCTTTGGCGGAGCCTCGCTGCTGTCCTTCAATGCCAAACGCTTTGGCGGGGGAGGCACCTGGCGGGGTCACCGGAGTCAGCAATGAATGACCCCACCAGACATGGATTGTCGAGGCTCTGCTATGTATGAGGGGTCCCAGGGGTTTAATGAATCAAGAATCTACATTATCTACATTGAACAATTTAAAGTTACAAGATGTTACAAGAATGGTTTCTGAGGAAATTACTGGGGATGGTTTGGGCGACAAGATCCGTGTTCATGGATGCCATTAAGAGTTCAAGAAAAACATGTGTGGGCCGTTGTGGTGCCAAGATGTGCCAAGTTTGTTCTACCGAACATTATGTAAACCTTTTGATTTCTGAGTTGCACACAAAGCGGTCCGGGCTATTCCAACCGAAGACTCAAGGCAGTGATTCCATCCATAGTTGGATGCTGAATGATGCTGAGACATCTCGCACAAATCCCGGTGGAAAGGACCCAAAACGACCCGAAAACGACCGCGTTTGCAGACATCCGGGCTCTTTTTGCGGCTCGCTTGGACTGACCACCGGGCTCTCTTTTCGGATCGCGTGGGTCGAAGTCGCGAACTGTGCCGGGTTAGAGCTCTTCTTTGGAGTTCCAACGGAAGACGTCCTCCACACAGATGTGCCGGAAGTGACGGCACGGGGCGTCATTCGCGTCATCGTTTGAAGGGAATTTTTAGCAGGCTGACCGAAATTCTGGTCTTGGAACCTGAAGGGGGAACACACATGGGAAAAGTGATTTATGATGAACTTTGTACTGAACAGACTGTGTCTCTTCCAAGCATAGCACAACAGGGAAAACGCCAATGCCAAGTAACATCAAGTAACCAAGTGCCCAATCGTTGCTTGAGCAGCAGCGGATGAGGTGATCGATCACCCTTCTGGTTGAACTTGTCCAGTCCTCAATGTACTTGGGTTTCTTGAAGTGATATGCCAATAAGGGCAACGCATCCAAGAGGCCTCAGCAACGCCCAGTTGAGCAGTTCAAGTTCATCTACGTTAGCTGCGCAGCATCGCAAATGTTGGCAAAAAATCACTGTGCAAAGAGAATAATTACGTGACAATGCTTGTATCAACAGCTCGCAGCAGCCACTCTGGGGACAGTCCAGGACATCAACAAAGTCTGATAAGGACAGGTCGCGCATCTCTTCGGCAGACAACTGGAAGCTGAAAATGTCAGCGTTCCTCAGGAACTTCGAATCAGGCATTTGAGAATCTATATATATCTATAGTGGGTTGAGAGTAGATGGCGCAATCCCCAAGTTTGGTGGTTTATATGGACCCCTGTATAAAAGACATCTTGGGGGTTGTGCCATCTGCTCTCAATCCACTGTAATGTTCCTAAGGTGTGTTTCTTCATGACGATTGATATATTTCTCCAGTTCAACTTCCTTGGTGATCACGCGTCCGAAACCGGCTGACGTGACGGCAGCTCAACGCAGCTCAGCGTCTCCCGCAAACGCTCTGCACGCTCGGACTTTGGGATGACCACCTGACTTTGGACTCCATCTTTGCAGACGGACCCCCCAAAAAAAACAAGGCCATTGTGGACTGTTTGGGAGGTGTCTTGTTCGTACAGCTGGGTCAAACAATATCAATATCTAGATATACTGTATATAATATAATATATCACACATTATCAATTATAATCACATTGAATATAATCTCTCCTGGTGGGCTGCCTTTCACATTCCTCCAGCCAACACGTTTCATGTTTTGATCAACGGCAGCATCACTTTCGGAACCAATCGAATCGGATCGGCATCCGGTGGCAATAGTGCAAGCAAGAACAAATCAGGTCCATCACAAATGATTGTTTGATATTGTTTGTATGAAGCTCCTCAATTCAACCTAAAGAGGTTGCAGCATCAAAACGACACCCCACCCGAAATTCGAGCCAGAAAAAATAACCTTGAACACATTCGCATCCTCCAAGAACCACCCAAGCCTACCACGTTCGTCCCGACGTCCGACGGTCGGGACCCACGGAACATCGCGTCGTCGGGAGTCGAGTCACGGTACCGTGCTGCAAGGCGTGGCGCAGCAGCACTTGTGCCACCGTGCGGTGGTGTTTTTGGGCGATCTTCTTCACATGGACATCTTCAAGTGGCTGGAGCACATGAGGATACCTGACGAAACGGCACTTGCTCGCCCGGCCGGGCCGAGTCCCGAGCCCTCCCGACCAAACAGTGTTAGGAGAATGGAAGGTGGTCGCGCCATGAGGAGCGTCTTGCTTTTTCACGACTTTCACTTCGATTTGTTGGTGCTCCTCGGCTCCTCTTGACTCGCTTTCCCCAAGCTACATGCCAAGAAAAGCCCTTTGGCGCGGCACTCAATGGTGTAAAAGGAAAAGCTGCCTTTGTCGCCCAGGCGCGCGTCCAAGTTACAGTAGCCCATCAGCACCACTCCCCAGCTCAGCAGCTTTTGAGCTACATCCTCCAAGGGACTGAGCTCTGAAACACACTCCCTCGCTCGCTCACTCACTCACCCACTCACTAAACGAGTGTGGCAGGAGAAAGGCTAGCAATCCACCGGCCTTGGCGGTTGTAAAATCCAAAATTTGAGAATCGTCTAGTTCCACTCATGCTCACATGGGGCATGAACAGGCACACATCAACGGATCCCCGGGCCTATGGTAGCCATATCTGTACCAATGGCTGGATAACTGTTCTTGTAACGACAGGCACTTTTTGGCATATAGTTGCCTCACCCTGGTAAAAAAATATCACCCTTCTGAAGCGCCCTCAAAACTGGCTCTGGCTCAGTCTGCTTGCCGTTCAATTTGTAACCGCTTTTTGAAAAAGACACATTAGCTCAACGAAACCTCTCCTATAGTTGAAATTGGTCACTTCAACAAACTAATCTTCATGTTGGCAATAGTTGACCTCTCCTAGTTTGTTCAAGTTCAACTGGGCAGTACTTCCCAGCAACATGGGGCAACTCGAGGTGAGGTCCTTCAACCGAGGTGCAAAATCTTAGATCCCGTGATGTGTCCTTCATCTTGACATATTGAAACCTCCACTGAAGCATCATCGAAGCCAAATCTCTTATGTACCCAGCTTGACCCATGTATAAACCCATCTCCTGCGTCTGCACTGGGGCCCATCCACGGTGGTAGATGGAAAACTTGTTCTGTACCACATGTGGCTTCACGCGCACATGACTGTTGAATCGCTTCCTAGGACCGTCCGGCGGAAACTCATGTGAAGTCAAGTTGTCACATGATCCATAGTTGCTGCGCATATCACAGCATCTGGGCAAAGCAACATGGAAACTGCAACAACTCTACCTGCTTGGTGAAACACATTCCATCAAATGCTCCTCTTGATGTGGAGCCTGACTCTGTACACCCCCCATATGAAGAGGTACAATCCATGTCTGGGCTCTTCATGGATGGCTCCAGACATGGATGTGTGTATTTCCTCAGGGCGGTCGACCGAACCGCAGGGCGTTCCGACCCCTTCAGGGCTCTGGACAGTCTACCCAGCGGCGTCCGAGCGTCACCCAAATGGGCTTAAGGCGGCGCTCGGTTGCCCGCTGTTTGGGGCATTAAGTTCATCTGTTGGGATGGCTGGGCGGCTGGGCCCTGGGCCTTTGGCCAAGCATCAGCTCTTCCAGGTTGAAGTTCGACACACCCAGGGACCGCACCACACCCTCGTCGTAGAGCTCTTCCAGGTCCTGGACCGCATCGCGACACGCACCGCGACAGGATTTGAGACGGACTACCAGGGACTGGCGGCCGGGTTGAGAGGGTGAACCCGGAGCTTGCCTGGGGAGAGCGCTCCAAAGCGAGGGTCAGAAAAGCAGTGAAAGAGTTGGAACGTGGGTTGCAAATGTTGAACTGTGGGGACTTTTGGGGTACGAATGTTCTCAGGGTTCTCAGGTATAGGCCACAGCTTCTGACTTCCAAGCACTTTTGTGTTTTTTTTCCTATATACTTACGTAGACCGTGGGCAAAGACTGTTGATACCCTAGGGATCCACATACCTTCTTCTCAGAAGGTACTTGGGCCCTCCAAGCCTACATAAATAGTCTCCAATCACCTTCTGACAAGGTACTTGGATTTGTAGGGATACATCAAACGATCCAGATTGACATGTAGAACCATCCCAGTGGGGGGGGTTGTTCATCAACAGTCGACATGACTTTGGCCGTTTTGAGCGTTTTAAACGGCCCAGCACGTCGTCGCAAAGGCCTTCCATGCTCCATACATCCCGGGACAGGGGCCATGGAGCATGTACCTCACTGATGAAGGGTTGCCATGAGCAGCTGAGTAGCTCCAAACCACTGGCAGATTGAGACTGTGCCACAAGCTGACTGATGCTGAAGGACATCTGCAAAACCTGCAGCCTTCATCTTTATGAACTTCTCAGCAGTGAAAATCTCTCATTGACCATGTCGAATTTGGACCCGCGACTGGTAATTTGGTACATATACATACATATAAATGTTTAAATCTGCTGAATCTCCACTGGAACATGGGATTCATTTTGCAGCGGCACAAAAGCAACACATGCCTTGTGACCATCCCTCATGTGCCTTGCCCGGATTACCCCATCAGCACCAAATGCGTGGGTCAGATTATTGGATTGTTCTCTCAGGTGTTTCAGACCAAATACGGAAGTGGAACGTAGGCCGGAAGACCACTTCTAGTAGCCCTGCTCAGCTTGGAGGACTTGATACTCTTCTTCAAAGGCTCCGTATCGGAGCGCTGCCACATGCAAACCCTACGAAGATGGGCAAAGCATCACCATCCTACCGAAGATGGGCACTGGTCGATGTAGTTGGTCTGCATCAGTTTCAACTGCTGCCTCACCAGGGCCTGCAGTGCTGGCAGCCCAGGTCTTCGTTTCAGTAGTCACATGGCCAGCTTGTCTTCCAAAGTGTATAACTATATATATATATATACTAGGGTGAGATGACTTAGGCCAATTGGGTCGAAATGACATACAAGTCCTTTGTCATTTCAGCCTAGTATATATACAATTAGTCAGTTTTATTTGAATATGAATGTGATCGAACATATAATTTTCAGGTTTCTGAGTTGTGACCGGACATGACCGGCGGTGCGCCGCTGGTGCGCCGCTGCAGCTCCCGAGCGGACTCCGCAGCGTCCATCTACACCCCCCCTCAGAGACCCGCATGGAACCTGATGGCATTGAACATGATGTTCCTCTTAGCCCATACACTCCATGTATGCCATATATGCCTACATTGACCCCCCTGGCACCACCCCAATTGATCGGCATATATGGCAGCCCCATGGAGCGTCTGGATAGAGTTCTTCAGGTTCCGTGTGGGTCTCGGAACGTTCTCCGTCTTCACCCCCGCCTTGGCCCTCTTTCGACGGCAGCCTTCATCCTCTGAGAGCTTCGTCACGAGGAAGAGCTGGTGGCGCGGCAAGCCGGAGGAACGCCAGGCGGAGCCAAGCTCTGCCTCTGAAGTCCGACCATGGATTTGGAGCGAGCAGGTAAACAGCCTGAGAATCAGATCAAACCAGAACAAAGACCGAGGGTGACCGACAAACCCATTGTTTTTCGTGAGTTTAGGCTTAGGCTTGGATGATGGGGTGCTTTGCGAACGATAGGGATTGCATTCCGTGAAATCCTGCAGCTACAATGATACAAAGGTACCGGCTTCCAGTAAGTAAGTGTAGAAACCAGCTAATGTGATAGTGTGGTGTAAGAAAGCACAGAGATCCTGCACATCCTCCTCCTGACCATGAAATCTAAAAACTTCTGAACCGACCTCTGTGCAGTGTCCCCTGAACCGGCCTCGTTCCCGTAGGACTGTGCAGTGTCCACCAGGCGGTATCCCAAGCGGAAGGCTTCCAATATGGCTTCCTAGGTCTCTCAGACTCTCTAGAACCCTGAGAATTATATAACACCCTGTTTCACGTACATTGGCTTTCGTTTCACCTGGGGTTTCTTTATCTCTTTTATCTGTGGTTTCGACCTTTTCCTTTTTCCAGTAGTTTTGGGGGTTACATGATACATGTGAATCTTCAGTAGGTCGATTTGAGACACACCAATCGAGAGAAAATATCTTCCGACATCGCAGGTTGGGGGATCAGCGCCATGAAATCAGGAATGGAGCAAGTTGCCAACTCTTGTCAAGGTGACGGTGGTGAGTCTATCCAAACAAGTCCAGTGGTTGGTGCGTGTGTGTGTGCGTGTAACTTTGGATGACCAACCAAGACCAGCGCACTAAGGAATCAATTCACATGTCACACACCCATCCGTTGTGTCATTGAAAGTCCTGGTGAGATGACATGTCCCAAGAACAGCTTGCAGCTAGTGACATCCAAGCTGCCTTTCCCTTCTCCCCATTCAGCATGGTGGTGCCCAATCCCAGCCGAGGCATATCCAAACCGTTGGATAGGCGCACTGACCCTTGGATGTGGGTGAATCTCTCTCTCTCTCTCTTGCTCTCACTCCACCTCACTCCCTGTCACTCTCTCAATCTGCACCCTATCTCAAGGCAAAGATTCATGGTGTGCACTTCAAAGCGCCCCCCAAAAAGACAAAGCCGGTTTAGCAAGCCAGGAGGAACTGCAAGGCTGCATTTCATTTGCAAAGGCAGGTGGTGGACACGATCAACAAAAACACAGCAAGCTGACCTTGCAGCCATTTTAATGGAACTCACAAGCACTGAGAGCATTGCCTTCATTACTCTTTTTGTTCCCGGTTTGCACTGCCCCCCCTCCCGGTTTACCCAGTTCATTCAAGTTCATTCCATAACTAGGCGACTTGCTATTGTTGCACCCCAAATCCCCACACAGTCCGCTCCCACTCAGTTCGTCCGGACGTTCCAGAGCTCTCGTGGCTGGCGTGCAGCCTGAGCCTGAAGTCTCTGAACCCACTACTTGCAACTCAGTTGGCTGTGGGTCAAAGCCGGGGGACCCGGGTTTTTCCCAGCGAACATGAAGCAAATAGACTGCCAAATATGGGGCCACCTGCTAGGGAATTGGGGGCTCCAGGTACCAATAACTTACAGCCAGCTCAAGTAACTGAAGGACCAACTCACCCCTCAAGTGTTGACGACCAGTTCTTTTGTCCATGTTCATTGGTCCTCAGTGGATCTAAAGGGAAGGAAGATTTTTAGGTGGCGTGACCGCCCATCAAGCCATCCCAAATCCACATTCTCTCCAGTGTCAATCAAGTTTCGGTTGAGCTGTGCTTCTGCCGGCAGTGGGATGTGCTTACTCGCTAGCACTTCTCGAGTGGCATTCCTTAGAAAGCGCGGCCCCACAGACTGGGAGGCATTCCCTTCGCCGCACGAGCACCTCCACCTGCGAAAACGCTGTTCAGCGAGGCAAAACATCAATCAATCGCCTCATGTTGAATATACACCCTACGCCCAGCTTACCAAGGGGTTAAGGAACTCTTTGTAGCTCCTTGGCTCCCTGTTTAACGGGGAATGTGGATGCCCCCCGGCGACCCTCATCTCTCCCCGCTCCCTCGTCAACAAAAACTAGCAGCATATCCCAGCTCATGTCCTGAAGTGGACTCAGGTGCAGCTGCGTGACACTTCAGCCATGGCACGTAGCTCAGCGGCATGCTGATCAAAGGTGATTCCTGGATTCTTGCGCTTTTTCAGGATTCCGCACCGAAAACCCGAAAACCCTCCAAGACCTGACATGTTTTGGTATGGATTAATCCATGCCCTCTGAGTGATTGGAGATACATTCATGTCGGCTTGGAGGGTCCAACGAGCCCTGAAGATATGGGGATCCCTGAGCCCTGGGATTAGGACCTGATTTCACCATCTGGGGGGGTGATTCTCTACCGTCTGAGCCCGGGCCTTCCATTGTTTCCGAAAAAGATTGGAAGGGATTCAAAGTCCAAACTCATTCAAAGGCACATCAATAGCACAATACTGCACATTCCAGCGTGTTCTGATCTGAGAATGAGGGTGAAGCAACTTGTACGACCTGGGACCTGGAAACATTGTTCAAGCCTTCCAGAATCCTTCCAACCAAGGTCTACGAATTGTATAAGAATACAACAGTCTACCAACCACAAAAGCATATCAGGGCTCAGGGAAGATGGGAGATGTTGAGATGTTGGGGAGTCTTGAAATCAAAATCAGATATCAAAAAGGGGTAGCTGCAAACGACCTGGATAGATTGCTCATGCAAATCCAAATGATGGAGCTCCATCCGAGCTGCGTGCATCTTGAAACGCCCGGCGTTGCCGCTCTTCGCGCCCGTGCGCTGCCAGGAGCTGCCGCTCGGCTCGACGCAGCGAGGAAAGAGGACTGGCGAGCAGTGAGCATCGCCCCGAGGGTTTTCCCCGGAACTTCCAAGCAGAGCCGCAACATGTACAGTGGTCACCTCAAGATGTCCAGAAAAAACACCGACATTGGGGATTGTCACTGTCATCTAGCTAGACTATGCAATGTATATTTTATGGGAGCATTGTGGGAGTTCACGGTCTCAAGGCAGCCACTGGTTTCTTCACATTTCTTCCCAAAACGCCGGGGACCTTCCCGTTTCTTCCCGTTCGGGCACCCCGCATCGGCCTGGCGCTCGGAGCCGTTGCCGTGGTCGTCGCGGCCGTGCTCAGGGCCAAACGCGCGTTGCGGAGCGCGTAGAGCCACAGCTCAGAGAAACCGATGAGCCAATCCTCGGCTGAGGGGGTTTGGCGACGAGCCGTTCTGCCGGCGGCCTTGACGGAGCTGTGTGCGCCCTTGGAGGCAACGACTGCGAACGGAAGAAGACATGAAAAGACCAAAACACATTGGTTGAGGATCTCCCTATTTTAATACACACCCATATTCCAGTTTAGGGGAGTAGTCCAGTTCAGGGGACCAGCATCACCCGATCAAAGGACCAAATCGAAGGCTGAAATCCTTCTAAAATGCCAAGGGCAAGTGCTCTCACTGGTGCAGGGTGCGTGAGGTAGTGAACAAACGAAGGGGTTCCGCGTGGATGATTCATAGGATCGTGGTAGAATCCTGCCAGAACTTGCAGCAACACTACTAGTAACACTATATAGCACTGTATGACCCCCACAAGTATTTGCTTGGAACGGCTAGGTGCAACATGAGTCAGGCTCTGACCCCCACCAATCCTCCCACAAATCCCCCCCAAATCTCTCCGTTGAAAGCAGGCATCTCTTCCTATCTACCAGAGCCTCCACGGGCTATCATGCTGTATACCAGCCAGCAGTCTAAGCAACGGTTGGGATCGTTCAGCCCGACCCCGTGGAACGCGAGACTCCAACTCATCGAAGTGCGTTTCTTCGGGATCCTTTCCACCTAGCCATGCAAGCGCTGGCAGCGTCCAGAAAGGAAGAAAACATAGGGAAACAATTGACAAATGACGTTGCTTTCATGTTCTTGCAATAATGAGGAAACATTTATCGGCTACGTACTATTGGGGAAACGTGTGTGTGTGTGTGGAAGTCATAACTGATATAGAGCTCTTGCGAGCATGGATCTAAGTGTGTGTGTGTGTGTATGTGCAATGGACGGATCAATCTCTCTCTCTCTCTCTCCCTGTTTCCATCGCCTATGGAAGTCGATGATTCAGCATATGTCCTACAGTCCAATTCCGTTTCAATCTAGCCGTTCAGAGCCGTTCAGCCTTCTCAGGCCATCGCAAGTGTACAGTGTACAGTGTACGGCCCCAAACACCGACGGCTCCTCGCCTCGGATGTAGGCTTCCAAGCGGTGGTCTCCCCGTGCCTTTAGCGCTGCCTCCGCGAAGTCGCCTGGAGAAGGCCTGGCGACTTAACGCACGATCCGCTGCCGGCCTGAGGATGGAGGGATGTCAGTCTCCACTCCTGTTCCCACTTCCTCAAGAACGGAAGACTCTTCTTGCAAGGTGCCATTGGATCTGGGGATGTGTTGCTTGGACTCCGCATCTCTCTATTGCAAATGCTTTGCCAAACCTGTCGCAACATCACTGAACATGAAGTGCAAAATCGAGTCTTCCTTACTCACAGCCCGGCATGACATACTGATCCATCAAATCTGTTCGATCGCTTTCTAGTCTGTCGACGCACCAACAACCACCCACGCCTGTAGGCAGAGCTAGCGATAGCCAGCCAAAGAAATCGCCAGCCATGGCTCCGCATCGACACAAACCGAACCGTATGAAAGCCTTATCACGTTATGTCACATGATTTCAGCTCAGTATCATCCGGGAGTTGCTGTCACTTGCTCCGAGAAAAAAGCGGTGCCCTTTAACGGAAAAAAGAACGTGGAGACAACCCCTAAGCGGCGAAGCGGCAAAACCCGTATCCCTAGGGATCCAAGTACCTTGTCAGAAGGTGATTGGAGACTATTTATGTAGGCTTGGAGGGCCCAAGTACCTTCTGAGAAGGTATGTGGATCCCTAGGGTATGTTAAAATATTTGAAAGAGTTTATCCAGGTGGTGCCATCCGACCAGTCCAGGCGCCATCCACGTGACCATGAGCTTATGTTGGGGAGTGCAAACACACTCCTCAAAACGGACCGCCCCTCCATATGACGGTCAAACTGAGCATTTGGGTGGAGGGACAAAACTGAATCAAAGAAGAGATCCTGTCTCCATCTCAAAGTTCGTGAGTCCAATCTTTTTCAGCAGTGAGAAGCCTCACCGGCAGCAGTTGAACAATTTGTGAAGGCTTCGGCCCATCTGCATATTGTAAGGTTCACGTTTCGCAGCAAAGCGATTGTGCTTGTGCTATGTGAAGGATTGAAGTCGAATGCCCCAAAAAGTGGGACAAAATCGATTTCTGAAGCCAGTGGCTGCTGCATTCATGTTCATGTCACTACTTAGACCAGGATGACTACCAGGATGACATGAAAATTCAATATAATTCATAGGCCTCCCGCAGCATGGCAACGCTGAGACACAATCCAAACTCTCCACAGGCGAGGAACCTGGGCCTCAGCGTTCAATATAATTCAATCAAACTCCCCAATAGATAGAAAAGTAGATCCCCACTAAGAATATAGGAAACCGTTTCTATCTATTTGGGGGCCACTATTGGTCACTTTTATGTGAACACTCTTTGGATCTATTTGGGTGGTCGGCGTGTTGTCTCTTTCGACTCAATCTGATCGGGTCTGAGGGGTCTGCTGATCCAACAGCATGGCAACGAGACACCATCCAAACCCTCCAGGTGAGGAACCTGGGCTGAGATGCATTTAATCAGACACCCTTGCCCATCGTGTCTTCCTGCTCGGTTCGGATCAGCGCCTCACCATTCTGGATCGCCAGCAACTTCCGCTGTCGACGACGCTGCTGCGCGCGCGCTCGCCGGCCTCGGTCTTCCCGGGTCCCCGAGCGCGGCACGGATCCCGAGGCTAGGTGTTTTAGAGTGGCTTTAGTTAGGTGGCCACACTCCCCAGCGCATGAAGGCCATTTGCC